AGATTTTGTAAATTTTAAAAGCTCTCTCGGAAAGAAACTGTGAAAGAATCGGCTAAAAGAAGGGAGCCGAAGTTAACGAAGGTAAATTTGTTTTAAATATTGATTTTATAATGGCTTTAAAACCCGATGGCCTTTGCGTATGAAATAACTAACAAGACAGCATATATTTAAATTTCATTGTATGTTTAATATTGATTCCCTTTTTTATGATATTCAAATCTTTTAAATAAAAAAGAAAGCAAAGTTATTTGCAAGCGAAAATTTGAAATTATTTTATTGCAAACTCAAAGTTTATCGATAAGGCCATTTTAAAAGGCAGATTAGTAATAATATAAAGAACACTAGTGACTTTAAAACGTTTTGCGAAGCGTTTGTGGTTGAATTTTACCTTAAATTGAGGCTTGTATTACGTATAATAACATACCTAACATATATATTTTGGGAAATTAATAATTTTGTAGTTAAAAGTGATATTTTTCAGGCGATTTTTCACTTGTAAGAATATTGATTGTTCTTAAAAAATTATCGTGTTACCATGACAACTACTTTAGATATTTCATGTTCGGAAAATACAATGGTTTTGTAAGCAAGGCGAGGGTTTCTGCATGCATGTATTTTCTAGTAGTGAGAATATTAGAATAACATGCACACTAACTGTATACATCAAGTGGAATGTGCAATCGATATGTCCACTGAACACCTAAGTCTTGCTTGGACTGGCGATTTTGACTCGCTCAGGAAATTTTCAAACAAACTCCTAAACCTTGATGGAGGGTGGACACAGCCTGGAGGGGACAGGAAGCTCTTTACTTTTGACAACTCAAGTATTGTATGGCGAAAAACTAAAGGTTTGTTGCTGTTTAAAGGTGAGCAATCAATGACTGTTAAAAAGAAAATTTGCGAAGCAATGCTACAAGAATCGCCTAACCCAAGACTAACCCACATCACAAACGCATTCGGGCATATCGCCTGGTGATCGTATGGATGAGATCGAGAGTCTTAGATCTGCCCAGTTATTGAATGGTGAAGCAATTCAACTTTTGGTGAATTCTGTTTCGCAGATCTTTTCTATAATTGCTGAAATTCAAGCAAAAGCAAAACCCTCTACGGACGATTTAAGTAAAAAAAATAAGGAAAAATAACTAGAGGAAAAATTGAGCAATTTGAGTATGCAAATTCCATCAACACCAACACTGATGATCCTATTGTCTTAGAACAATCAGAACAATTAATTGAATCAAATAATGCAAATAGTGATATGACACATTAGAAAAGACTTAGAGTTGAACGTAAACGAAAGAAATACAAGAATTTTTTTTAACCGGTATTGCTGAATTGAAGGCGTAAAAGAAAGCCTGTACTGGGATTGCCAGTAAATGAGGCGAAAAACAGGTTTCAACTCACTTTAATTATAAAAAATATGGAAAATTACAAAATAATAGATTTAGGTAAAACACTGTTTTCCTTCGCACGCCATATTAGCTCCTATGCGCATGCTCGAACAAAACGTAAAAAACATCGTTCAAAAGGCGATCGCAGAGATTATTGTCTACAACTTTACTACAACCCAATACAAAGCCAGATATAGTCGTATCTCGTTGAAAGAAATATAACCCTTACCATGGTGTCTACCTTCCAAAGTAAACGTAAAGGAACAATGTCTGCTAAAATACATATCCCATTAACCACAAGTTCGGTCGTACTAGAAAAAACTTTTGGCCAGAGTTTGTATACTGTAAGCCATGGCAACAAAAGTAGATAAGAGATCGACAAAACACATTGCAGAAAAACAAAGAGACCCTAGTGGGAAACTATATAACTCTAGTATAATGGAAAATGTAATTCCAGTACGTATCTCGTCTACAAGATGTTAAAAGTCTAGACAAAGAAGGTCTACACTTATAAAAATCTAAGTCGTGTAAATTTCACTAGACAAGGACCCAGCAAACTAAAACAAATTCCACAGTGTTTGGTGTTGAATGCTAGATCAATAGTGAAGCCTGATGCCTACCCGGCGTTATATGCGGAACTTAAGAGCAACAATAGGGCCATTTATACGGGACAAAATAAGTCGCGTCTTACATAAGACGCGTCTTATATAAGCTGAGTTATCGCATAAATGGTTCTCTACGGATTTATTCTTATTTACTTGCTATAGCTATAATGTTGTTTCGGTTGTTTTTGTTCGAATATGCAAGGCTAATAATTTTACGTTGTTACAAGTTTCGGGCATGTGTAGTTAGAATTTTTGTCTAAAATTTCTTATTTAAGACGCGACTTAAATAAGAACAGCTAAAAGTCCCGCGTTCTTATGTAAGACGCGTCTTATCCAAGACGTCCAACAATAATTTTGTATCTTTTATACGACAAACTCGCGTCTTACCTAAGTCGCGTATTATGTAAGTCGCGTCTTATTTTGTTCGGTATAAATGGCCCTAATATTGATGTTTGCTGTATTTCAGAGACATGGCTAAATCCAACTATAGCCAGTTCTCTAATTTGCCCACCTGAGTTCTGCATCATCAGGAAAGATAGATTAGGTGCCCGTGGTGGTGGAGTGGCAATCCTTTGTAGAAAAGATTGGAGAATGCAAAAAATTCCAAATATGGATAACCCGTTTGAATGCCTATGGGCAAAAATTACAACTGAAAACTCCAGTTTTAATGTTGCATGCAGGTGTATACCATCCTCCCGACCATAATTGTACTGATGCAGACGATTTCATAGAATTCCTAATGGACTCATGCGAGCAGTTATTATCGGAAAACCCTAATACGAAGATAGTTATTACTGGAGATATAAACAGATTGAACATTCGCGACCTACTTCAACAATTATCTTTTGCACAGTTGGTTAGATCATTTACAAGAGGTAACAGAATCTTAGATGTTTTTGTCACAAATGCTCCTCACTACTGGAAGGAAATAAAAGTTAAGAAAAGTTTGGTAAGAACTGATCATAATATGATTATTGCATACTCGAGAAACATTATAAAAAGCGAAAAGAACAAGTTCATTCTTTAGGGATGTGAGAGAACATAGAAAATTAAACATGCTAAGAGAACTAGAGAATGTGGACTTGTCAAAGATAACAAAATATGAACAAGCCCCTGATGAGATGATTAAACAACTTTATGAAAGTCTCTGGCCGAGATTTGAGAACAATTTCCACTGATAAAAGTCCGAACCTCGTCACGCGATCCACCATTTATGTCCCCTCTCGTAAAATATCCGCCGAAAAAAAGGAAGAAAGCTATAGGCGTAGGTGATAAAGAATCTACTTTTCGTCTACAAAATCAAATTAACAGACTAATTCGCGCCAGTCAACTTAATGCTGTTCAAAATGAGAACCAAAATCATAAAACTGGTACAAAGAAATGGTGGAATAATGTTAATAACATTACTGGCAGGAAAGAGAAAAATTCTGCACCTGTTAGCTCTCTGATTGATCCGAATGTTATAAATGCCTACTTTCAAACTATTGACACTGACCCTAATTATTCAGCCCCTCAGTTACTAGAAATTCCAGAGGGAACTACACTTCCGTTTCTTTCTATCGATATTGTCTATAACTTCCTAAGAAAACAGAAGCGTTCATCATATGGCCTGGAGGATCTACCACATTAGTTCTGGAAGACATTCGGCTATAACAAAAATATTTAACGTATCTCTGAAAGTTGGAAAAGTCCCTGAAATATGGAAGAGAGCGAATATAGTTCCAATACCAAAAGAAAATGTTATCAACTCAAGTTCTGAACAGAGACCTATCTCACTAACAGACATCATAATGAGGTCATTTGAGAGATGTATATACAAAAATGAGATCGCAGATGTTATATATCACTCAATCGATTCTGACCAATACGCATATAAAGTAGGACATAACTCAACGATGGCTTTAATTAAATGTCAACGTACGTGGTTGAATTTGGAAGAGTTAAGAAATTGCCTTTTAACCCGTACATCATAAATTGGATGACAGATTTCTTGAAAGATCGCAAACAGAGAGTAACAGTTGATTGCATCACAACCGAGTTCTTGAAAATTAATCGTGGCGTGTAAATATTATGGTTTTACAACAAAGCAGTTAGAAGTTCTCTTTCAGAGTTTAATAATGTCATTATTCACTTTCGGAACTGAACTTTGGGGAGGAGCATCTTACACTAAATACATTAGTCAGATTGATAAGTTTATAAATCGTGCATACCGTAATGGGTATGTAATAGAGAAATCTAATTTTAGAGAATTAATTAATAAGAGAGACAAGAGGTTATGGAAAAAAATATTAGATGATGAAAATAATGCACTAAGAGAACATTTACCCAACAAATTAAATCGAACTTTAAGGCAAAGGGGACATGACTTTGAGCTGCCCTTAGTAAGAACTGAAAGATTTAAAAAATCTTTTGTAAATAGATGTCTTTTCAATTTTATCTAGTGTATGATACATTTTAATAATTTTTAACAATATTGTAGAATTTTACTAGTTTTATTAAATTATTGATGTAAATAATTAATGCAAAATAGACTATATACTTTATTTTTATAATTCCATGTAAACTCGGACGTGTGTTTCGAGTATTGATTAATAATGACTATTATTATTATTATTATTATTGTTATTATTATTCAGCCTATGAGCTGCACAATGAACAAAATGGGCAAAAGGATACTCCCGTTGTATTTGAGCTTGAACACCATTGAGATGACCATCATGACCCGACATTACCGAGGCACCATCATAAGTTTGCCCAATAAGCTTATCCATGATATTTTCATGCTGAATCAACTTACCTTTAATAACTGTAGATAAAGCAGTTGCAGTTCTTTCAGAACTAAAATCTACAAACCCAAGTTGCCTTTCTATAATATCACCCATTTTATCCAGACGAACGATCATACTCAACTGCTCTTTGGCCGGTGGATACATCAGTCGCCTCATCAACGGGTATACTCAAAAAAGTGCAATTATCCATTTCCTTTAAAATATTATCCTCTATTATCATATCAAGACAATTAATCAAATCATTTTGAATATCAGGGGAAACTCGATTCAGCAAACTGCCTACCCCCTCTCAAACTCGATTTGACAAGCCTACCATGTAACTGCCTTTCAAAAACAGAATCCATTCTGGCAAAACGTTCAAGCAATTCCCTGTAATTCCCTCTGTTCAAGCTATCGTTAGATTCATCATGACCTCTAAATGCAAACTCTTGCCTAGACAAATATAGAACAGCTTGTGTTAGATTTTTTAACAATTCTCTATCTTGCCTTACCTCCTCATCATGACGCTGAATCTCGTCACGTCTGGCTTGTGAGATGCGAGAGTCCACACGAGGTCCAGAACCATAGGTTTTCCAGGTCTTGTAAGCAGACATGTGGAATCTTGCCCTCTCATGCTTTTTGCAATCTGACCGAAAGCCTTTCATATTTCTGAAGCCAATCTTCATCCATGATGATGAAGTTCCAGGTCAAAATAAAAGACATGGCAAGCAAAACATTGCCTTCTTGGTTAAACTGCCACAAAGCCAATCTTTCTTTGTGTACCAACTCACCTGAAAGCTTCTATCCCAAGTGGTCGATTGTAAATTCGACATTGGCCGTTGCATTACAATTATAAATTACTCGCCCGCGCGGTTGACGAGTAGAGAAAGGTTTCTTCAGCAAACCAGTTATAATATCTGCTTCTGTGGAAGCCGTCACGCTTCCTGAAGCCATTATAATGCAAATTAATACAACGTGAAATCACGTACCTTGAACGGAGTATTCGAGCGTGAATTATCCCGAACAGAAAGACTGTATCAATAATTCAAAGGCTCAAGTATGCTCTGGAAAGTGCGCATGACTAGATGTTGCTGCGAAACAGCGCATTTGAACAAGCGCAGTTGCCATTATCCAATCAGATTGCCAGTATTTCTACTATAAAATATATTATTTGGTCATGCTGATTTCAGAGGGCATGACTAGACCACGAAATGCTGTACACACGAAATTCACACGAACTCGCCATGTTTGTTGCTAGGCAACCTATGCAAATGAGCAATATTTTGCCGAAAATGACATAATACAGCGACAATCTCGTCTAAAGTACTTGTTTTGAAAATCTTTTCTCGTTGAAATCTGTAAACGAAAATCGAACATATTCTTCTCACCAAATGCAATCGACCACCTCGCCAGACCGTGAGGGTGAACAAGGGAGGAATTGGAAGGGATAGCCCAGGTTTCAGGTGTATCTTTGACACCAATCAACATGAGTCCCCCACTAGATGTATCAACATCACACCAGGCCTAAATCAAATGATAATTGGGCCACGGTTGCAAATATAAAAGCCTGAAACTGAATGTCATGTACACGAATCACCCTAGGACTGCAATTACTGGGAGAATGCCGTCATGTATATTTGCATACGAATTCGCTTTGAGATTGAATCTGGCGAGGTAAGAACTTTGAGGTGCAAGTAGATAGTTGAAAATGCAGAATTTTTAGCTAAAGATGTATAGGATCTGCAACAAAGTCCTGATTATAAATCACACATTGTTTTACTTATTTTCACCGGGTCCTTTACTGTTTGAATCGAGTAAACTCCACTCTTAGGTTTTGGAACATTATCAACGACATTTGAACAATCTTTTGCCGGACCAAAATAGTTGCGATACGAATAACCTAAGCAATAACATGATCAAGGGCAACAATAAGTCCGAATTATTTTTTATTATCATAATAAGTAAGAGTAAGAAATTTATACTTGTGGCAAAATATTCAGGTTGTGGGGTGTACTCCCCCCCCCCCAAGGGTGGTAAGCCAAGAGCTAAATCGCTTAAAGGCACACAGCCACCTTTAAGGTAATTCCGCAGTTTTGCATTGCGCACTTTTACTGCGCACATCTTATAACTTATAATTTCATCCATTATACGCACCGTTTAAAAAAAGGTCATTTTATGACAATGTTATGTTACTTCAAAACATCTTTGGTTACATTCGTGCAAAGAATTACGTTAAAATCAATGTTTTGAAAAGAGGCATACAAAAGTGTAGCTAGGGTTCCTGTGTCTGTAGTATATTTATTTACTTGTATTTCACGTTTTGATGCCACAATTCCCTAATTAAAAGATCGGTGACCCCCGTTTTTTAACTGATAATTTATTTCTTTATTGCATTTTATACGTTTCATATCCGAAATTAAAAGAAAAATCATTTCTGGATCTTGAAAAAAAAACTTTTTCAATGCATATTCTCAAAGAAAGATATGTAAAGAAATGTGGAAAAGACATTTGTGGATCAGAATTGTACACGTTAGTAGTTTCATTTTGCTCAAAACACAATATTTTTTCAAAAATAATTACAAGATAAGTTTACTAAAGGAAAATCCGCGCTAAAAACGTCAATAAATATCAGGTTGTTGTGAGTTTGCTGTTACTCGTAATGAGCGTCAAGATGGCGCCATATTGGGGGAAAGGTTGTATATTGTGATTGTCATATCTTCTTAACGAGTTCAGAGGAGGTTGGACAGCAGGCCGCAAAGCATCATGGGTATTGAGCGCCTAATTCCACGCGTGGCTTTCATTGACTGTTGACTGTCGAGGAGTGAACATCTCTGACTACAAAACCAATATGGAAGCTTTCGAACGACAAGAGTGTCAGGCTGCGAGACTCTGTGAAAAGAAACAGCATGTTATTGCTGTATTGTTGTGATCATCATTATGACTTGTGTTTTACTATATCAAGTTTACCTTTTTTAAAATTGCATGGGACGTGCTGTCATTTTAGCTTTATCTATAATTCGTCTGAGAAAAGGAATTGTGTTTAATTTATATTATCAATATCGAGGCTCTTCTTTCTAAGTTGGATGGCGTTAAATCTCCGTGTATCATCAACGTGAAAACAAGCGCAGTATTTAAGGTTGGTGTACTACAATGCATTACCGTTATCGTGTTATTTTATAGTCAAATTTTTGCTTTGTTCTTTTTATTCTTGTACTTTTAATATAAATACACTGTACAAAATTATGGCGTCATACTTGTGTTTAGAATGCCTTTAGTTTGACCCTACTGTGTCACTGTGATACATATGTACATGTTTTGAGTTAAACGAATTGTTTAATAAATTTTTGCTGAAGTATGATGCCTGTTTGTATGGATAGATTTTTACATATATGTGCATACAGTATAGTTATATTTTTCAATTTTCATCTGTAAAATAATATTTGTGTGTTGTTCTATATTACTGTAAATAGTGACACACTTTTGCATTAGATTGCTAATTTTAGAGATTACAGTGTATGTATAAAATAATAAAATAAAAATTTTCTTGTTATGATTTTGTAGAAAGAGATCTACTTGAGTGGTTCAGTGGTTGGCTGGTCTTGAACCTGGTCAGGATGGATATGGTAATGAAGGTGATCAGGATGAAAGTGACGAGGACGAAATCACCCATGCTATGCCATTCAAGTGCATTGGTGCTGCTCATGAGAAACATTACCAAGATCATTTGTAACAGGCATGCCTTGCTATTCATGAACAAGATAAACCAGTGAATGTAAGAACACGGCCAAAGCCATTGAATCCAATGCCATTGAATCCAAAAGTGCAATAGCAATTGATGTAGACTATGGAACTGGATGGACACATGTGATGTTGGCTATATTATTTGCACCCACTAATTGCTGCATGAGATATCTTAGAGGTCTGTGTTCAGCATATAAAGTATAGGGTTGACTTTTTTAAAATAGGATTTTATCCACAATTTTTCATAAAGCGATGTGGTGAATGGGAGACTCAAGTGGTAAGGAGGGGCATGAGTGTATGTCGACAGGTATTTGTGATATAATAGTAACTGACTAGGTTTAGCAAGTTATAGAAAATATGATGTTATTTAAATTGGCTAACTTTTTAGATTTTTTCAGCATTTTTACCTTTCACTTTATTGCCGGATGAAAATCATTTAATTTAAGTAGGTGTGTATCTATAAGAAAACAATATCTGTCATGTGCACTTGTGCAACTCCCTCAAAATAGCAATATTGCTTTTTTATTGTGGCATAAATTTATTACTAGGACACCAACATGGTTCTCATTACCTATATCTAAACTTAAAAAAAACATGTGCTATAAATAAATGCATCTACCTATTTCGTGACTGAATAGAATTTATTTTGTCAAGCCATGTAATTAATTTTGAAATTGCTGTGACTTTATTAACCCTTCTGCAGGAATTGAGCCTAAACCCTAAAGCACCAACCCATCCCCAACAATAAAATGACATCTTACTGTCAATTTCAATTTGTCTTTGAAATCTGACCACCAATGTTTATTTGTAAGTTCGGAATGTATGTTGTAAAGTTCGACTGCAGTTCGTTTTAAAGTTGTTTCTGTGAAAATCGGGCTGAGTTGGATTTTAATAGTTCTTATTTCTAGTCAAAATATGGGTCTCTATTTACATTTACTTGTTTCTATATACACCTGTTGACTCTGGATGGTCTTCAGAAGTATCAAATAATGTACCTGCATGCCATTATAAAT